ACAGAGCTCACAGCTATGTGCATCTTTAGCTGGTTGCACAACTATAATCCAGGATTTTTTCAACCTTTTGCAAGAATTAAGAGTGAATTAATGCACAAGCTTCACATCTCTCCAGTCAGAGTCCACCCTAACCCCAACCCTATCATCAGCTGATGTTGACACTTTTTCAAAAGAGAAACCTGGAACATGTTCGACCAGCAGGGATGCAGATCTGGGTCTGTACAGGACTTCTGGGACATTACTGGTGACACTACATAAATCCAAGTCCAGAACAGGCACTGATGGAGGTTGTGGAAGCTTCTGTAACACGTTTACATCCAATCAGATTCCAGCGTAACCCGGTAATGCACTGATCCCGTAACTTATTTAAACACTTTGTCCAAACTACATCGGCTGATTAGAGCCAAATAACATTCACATAACTTTTTGCATGACTTTTATTTTATTTCTTTTCAAATTAAATTTGACTTGCATGGTGCTAAATGGCACCGTGTCACCTCAGGGCGCGTGAAGGCAAAGACTTTACAGGATTACAGAGAGAAAGCCGACACACAGAGGCCACACTGTGAAAAGGCTGCTGGTTGGTGAATGAAAGACAAAAAATATCTGCAAAACATTTACATGCATTTGAGCTTAACGTGATTATTGTGACAACACTGTGAGGCTGAGGAGACACAGCGGCGTGAGGAAGGCGGGTCGCAGCCGTACAGACACACATTTCTAAAATTCCTCTGTGGAGTGAGGAGGATATTTACCGACTGTGTATCAGGCAAGAAGCCTTCAACCGCTTCAACCGAGTCACCATCCACACACACACACACACACACACACACACACACACACACACACACACACACACACACACACACTCATGCTCTCACCCCAAACACACCACGACATGCAAACACACTTAAACACATCACGTAACCTTCATGGATCAACACTCTCACTTCACTGTTTACGGTTTGTAGTAAATAAATGGTTTGGAAATCACTGTTTTCATCCACAGCCTGTAAGTCACAGAGAAGATCCGGGTCGGGTCATTCTGCTGCGCCCTCCTGTCTCTGACCCGGTTCGATATCAGAACACTCGGTGCTACAGCCAACACCACGGCTGTGCTGCTGTCAGGGTTAGCTCGTAAAGGTTGGAGGTCATTTTGGACATGAAACTGAAACATAACACGTGCAACATGTCATGAACATGTGATGTTTAGAAGTAAAATCTAACACCTCAGAATTACCTTCTAGTCTTATTTTAGCTTTTTTTTTTCTTTTTCTTTTTGAGTCATATCTCCTTGTGTCTCTATTTTAGTTTCATTTATTTTACATTTATTTATTTTTGAGTAATAAATCTTTGCTTCTTTATTTTTAGCTTTTTTTTAATTTTTAAATTTTCTTTTTGAGTCATATCTCCTTGTGTCTCTATTTTTAGCTTATTTTATTTTTTAACATTCTTTATTTTCAGTACGACCTTCTATATCAGGCTCTACATTTCTGAGCAGCACTTGGTGCCAGAGTTTCCTTCAGGTTTCAGAACTCTTTGATCTGATCTTCTTTATGTTTTCTTTGAGTCGCTGGATATTGTTGAGCTTTGGGCCATTTGTTGGAAAAAAACAACAACATCTGTTTACATCAAGTTCTCGGAGGCTTTAGAGATCTGATGACTGTAATTCTCCAACATTTTATGAGACACATGACTGATCAGCTGATTCATGAATAATGAAAGTAACTGGTGGCCGCCTTGCTTGTAGGTTTGTGTCCAGAGATCTTCTCAAAGCGACACATGATGAGCTCAGAGCGGTGACAACATGTAAATCAAATACGCTGGATGTAATTTGGCCAGAACATGCTGCCGACGTTTAAAACCATGTGAGCATGAATCATGTTCCTCATTACAGCTCCAGGAGCATTCAGCCTCACTGATGATGTTAAACTGTAAATCTCTTGAAGCTCATCCTGTCCAAATTCAATCATGTCAGAATCCCTGATTTCCCTCCATCTAGGTGAGAAGATCCAGGCTGTGAATCTGATCAGTGGCTCAGAGGTTCCATGTGCTTCTCATATCTCTACTAACCAGGTAACCCTACCTGACGTTTCTCTGGAATCCCAGCGCCGCGGCAGCCGGTTTTCATTGATTTGGAAAAAACAAACACTGTGTTTTGGATGCCGCTGTAACGGACAACCTGCATGAAGAGACACGCTGTCAGCGGCAGCAGAACACGAGTCTGAACTCACAACCTGTATCACCTGTCACAGCTGAAACCACAAAGCACCACAGACGGACTTCAGGCACACGAGCAGCTCTGAAATAGTTCCTGCACACATTCCGATGTCAGTGGAAATACGAAGTGAAACAGCGCTATCTCGATGCTACCTGCGATAAGAGGCCCTGACAAAACATCCAACTGCCACACGGATGATGTCAGCTCGCTGGAAAACAACCGCACAGACACGGCGGCGAGTGAAAACACACGCAAACAAGAGACGTTCCTGAGAATGAAACAAGAACGGGAAAACACAACTGTGATTAGGATCTTGATAAACGCTAAGTTCTTTATGCTTCTCCTTCCACTTAACAGCGTTTGACCTTCCCGCTGACCTCTGAGGAGAAGAGACGAGCCGCGACCTGTTGACCTCCCGCCTATAAAACAGTCAATAAAGCCAATAGGTCATATGAGGCGCGAACAGAGCAGGTGGCAAAGCACACACAGTCATCAGGAGGCGCTTTTCAAATGTTCATTCACACCACACTGAGCAGTTTACACCGAGGTTAGAGGTGCAGAGTCAGCAGACACCTCAGAGGAAGGCAGCCGGCCACAGCAAGACGGATGCATGTTCGTTATCACACATTAGATCCACTCATGTGCTTCTACATTCAAATGTAATCAAATAAAACAGGAGCTGATGAAGAATAAAGTGTGTTTACTATCTGGTGTAAGTGTCCTAAAGCTGACTGATGCAGTCAGAAGGAGGCGCCGCTGACAGGCTGAAGACTTTGGATGTTTTCTCTCAACCCTCTGATTTTATTTTAATTCTGGGTGTTTTTAAGTCACTGTGAGCTCATCTGTCACCGCAGAACAAAGTCACTCCAGTGGAAACAGCACAAGGACTCAAACATGTATTCTGTGCAGCATGACCCAGTTCTAACAGAACACACTGAAAAAAACAACAAGAAAAGATGATTCTAGAAACAACAACAACCTGGACCCAACATGAACACCGTTTCTGTGACAGACGCTGTGGACACGTCACATGTTTAACCTGTTAATACGTGGCTCCTGTCTGCTGGGGGAACACAGCCTGCAGCTCAGCCCAGCTCAGCCCAGCTCAGCCCAGTTCAGCCCAGCTCAGCCCAGTTCAGCCCAGTTCAGCCCAGTTCAGCTGAAAACCCCCAGAATCTTTCATCATGTGACTGTTGGTTGACAGAGGAGCACACGAGCTTCAGTGTTTTACAGAACCTGCTCAGAGCAAACAGTTTGTTTGGGCCCATGTTTAAATGAGACACAAAGAGGTCATTTGCATAAACAGATACCTGCATCATCTCCACAAACCTTCATAAAGCCACCTTCATCGTCTACCTGAGACAACATCAACCAAACTGAAGTTCTCTCTGTTGCTGTCGTCTCTACTGAGTCACATCCACTCAGCTCCAGTCTGACATCATCTCAAGCACACAGGAAATAAAGAAAGTTTCCTGATTATCTACAGTTTATCTGTTTGAGCACATGTAGACCGAACCGATTCTACTGGAACAGGACCATCCTGTAGGTGCAGATCTGGTGACTTCTCTTGATGGAACTGCAGTTTACAGATGAGTAGTTCAAGGACTGATGAAAGTCTGGCAGTTTTACAGTTTTTCACAGTTCTGGTTCTGATTAACGGCGTCAGTTTGTCGTTTCTTCAGCGGGGTTCAGAGGGTTAACGGGCCTCTGGAGATCAGGATGCTGAAACGATCCGTCAATCAATAACTCTGATGATTGACACGACATTAATCATCAGCTATTTTCTTTATTGATTTTCCATTTCAGATAAAAAAGGCCGAGCGTTGTGTCTTCGGCGTCTCCAGCGTGACGGTTTGTGGCTCACTGTGAACCCAATGTGTTCTGATTTCAGGACTGTTGGTTCTAGCATCTAAAGAGAAACTACGGCTTCAAATTTAAATGACACCGGCCTTTTGTCAAACTATTTTCAGACATTTGTGGACAAAATAATCAATTAAGTAATCAAGAAAGTCATGAAACACGTGTGTTTGGTCCTGGTCCAGCCACAGTGGTGAGCCTGTGTGGACCTGGGCTTTGCACTGATGCATCACGGTTCTGCACATTTCAGGAAACTTGAAGAGTTTGTTCTTTTCACAGCAGACACGTGCAGATATTTCAGTCAGAAATCAGGTTGACATGAAGGATGAATACAGCAGAACATAACATGTCTAGTACTGAGTGAGCTTCCTGCCTGCTGTCCACTGCTGGTAGAATAAAGTCTCCTCATCAGCTCCACCTGTCTGTTTTATTTATGTGCAAATAAAAACAAAACGGATTTTTTTCTTCTGTGCAAGTTTTTTTTTTGGTAAATAAAAAACTATTTTCTGATCAAAAACACACAGACACCAGGTGAACTTCTGACTGCTTGGTGACTGATGGTTCTGATCCATCAGAGCTGCTGCTGGTCCAAAAGTGTTCAAAGGAACTAAAACGTGAGGCTGTCGGTTCTGTGCTGAGGAACTCTGCTCTGTGTGTGGATGAGGAGCTGCTGCTGCTGCTGCGTTTTATGACTGCGGGACTGCGGACTGTCGACCCATTACTCAGCAAAAAGCTGCGTCAGGCGCACATGGAGCCGCAGCGCGCTCCCGATGCGCACAGTGGGGGGGGGGGGGTGACGACAGGTATGTTTGCAGACACACAGGTGAACTGATATGTAAAGAAAAGAAGTAAAAGTGAGCAGCTCTACAGGAGCCTGGCTGGCTGTGGTGTGGCGGGATGCGGGGCGCCGTGTCGGCCGTACCTTGGTGTCGAGGACGCTGCTGCCCTCCTGGAGCTCCCCGGCGGAGGCTGAAGCTGAAGCTGAGGCTGACGCATCCTCCTGGCTCTTCCCGTCCCGCTGCACTGAGCTCTCTGCTCCCATGATGAACAATCACAGAGGTGCTCTTCTTTACTTCTTCTTCTTCTCGTCTCTTCTGGCTGCTCTCTCTCAACGAGCCAAACAGGACAGCACGACTGAGGCGAGTATCCGAAAGCGTCCGGAAAGTAGCAGCAGTGCAGCGGTGCAGCTCCGCCCCGGGGTGGCCTGGCTCTGGACTGATCAAGTGCGAGCAGCGGCCAACTCTTTAGGACACCCCCACCTCCGACACCTCCGTCAGCGGCGGCACGCCTTGCAGCATCAGAGCCGGAGCTGATGGAGGACGAGCAGAGAGAGGAGAGAGGTGAGAGCAGAGGAGGAGGAGGAGGAGGAGGAGGAAGAGGAGGAGGACACCTCAGGAGAGGCACAAAGGCTGGATTCATCTGCTGCACAAATCAGATCTGCTCTTGGAGATTGGAAAATGGAATTAGAGTTCTTTTAAACACATCACAGGCGCATGGGAAGAAATTCTGAAATTTTTCTAAACAGAAATCCCCCATAAAGCAAAAACACAAGCTGCTGGGAAACAGAGCCCAGCGCTATGTTTGGACCAGAGAGTCAGAGTCATGGTTCAGTCACCTACTGCAGTAAATAAGACCAGAACAGATGCACATGGAGCTGCACAACCTGAGGACACGTCACTGGTTCCCTGGATGTGACTCACCTGTTCTCACCTTTAAACAGGAACATTGAGCTCTCACTCAGAACAAAGGTTTCACTGCAGATTAGGTTCTAAAATAAATGCATTGTTCAATAAACTGCAAGTGTGCAAGAATTAGACTGTTCTTGGCAGCATTAGACTGTCGATAAATGAATCAGATCATAAATAAATGAGAAGGTAGCAGTGAAAGCACCTCCCACGGTCAGAAGGAACGGCTCTCCATCAGTACTCCTTCTGCACCATAAACCAAACAAGCTGAATTTATCCTGTTTGTTATTTGATTAACTAAAGTGATGGAATCTTAACTTAAATCCTGACGTTGTTTAAATGAACACAGTATAAGAAAACGAACTGAACCACATCCAGTTTTTCGTGGTTTTAAGTCGAGTGTCTTCAGACCCACAGAGTCCAGACACAACCGCCGCTCTGTTCCTCTGCTTCCTCCTTAGATCTGAAGTGCGATACCTTTAATTCCAAGTAGATTTAATTTAAAAGAAATAATAACTCCGGGACACAAACCTCAGTGTTCTGAGCGAGGTCGTGTGTTTGACCCGTTCATCCACCCCGACCTCCTCCTGATCAGCACTCTGTGGTTCCTGATTAGAACTCGCCAGCAGTGGCGAAGGCAGAACGTCAGTCACAGCAGGGCGGCACCATGTCTCGCTCATTTAAAAAAAAACAAGTCAAATGGTGATTCTATTCATCCTCTGCTGATGCTGGGAGCAGCACAGAGCTCCACTAAACCCAGAACCAGGACAACAGGCTTCACAACGAGACCTTCAGCTGATTGTACACGTAGACCTGCTGCTACAGCTGCTGATTATAAGGAGCAGGGTTGGCACAGCATCTGTGGATCCAGTTCCATGAGTCCATGTGGTTCTGACGGGCTTCATGGTGTGTTTGTAGGGTCACCAGGCTCTAGTCTGGGGTCGCCTCATCGCTCTGCTCCTGGTCACATGACTTCCTTCCAGCTGAAAGTCCTGCAGGAGAACTTCTCCCACAAACCCATTAATCTGAATGATTTAGACGCTAATAACAACCACGGAGCATTTATTCAGTGTATAATATAACGTTTAAATATGAACACTCATTAGCAGAATATACTTAAACTTGACAGTAATGCAATCAAAGTGAAATCATGTACACTGTAATTGGATTGTTTAATTACCGCTTCTCTCTCATCCTTCTCCTGGTTAACAAGATCAGCCAACATCTGCTTTGACAGGAAAATCCACTTTGGTCACGTTCCTCATGTTTTGTGGTAACGAAGCTGTTTCATGTTTCAGAGGCAGCAGCTGCTCTGGTGCTTCAGCACTCATTCATATGTTATAGTCAGATATCTGCATGTGATGCCAAGCTCCTCTACACAGACTGTAAAGTGTTCTATGTATGAAAATGTAGTCCTGACTCGAGCCTCCATCTCCTGCCTCCATTCTGTGGACCTGTCCTGGTCGGCTGTAGCTGATGTTCAGCCTCACATGTTAATTGCAGGTTCAGCCATGTGCCATTTTGTTTGGAATCTTAGAACGCACAAATTACAGCCCCAGCGCTCAAAGCCAAGTTCACACAGGCCTAGACGGAGGGTCCCGGCAGATAAACCCAAAGCGCTGCAACGCAGACATGGAGTGAAAAAAAAAGTGAAGGTTTATGAGCCAAAAACCAGCAGCAGCATGAAGTGGAAGCAGCTCTGGGCTCTTTGTTTTCAACATGAGTTTGTCATTTTAAACTGAAGACACTGATCAAATTATTTAGTTATTTCTATATTATTATTTAAGGGCTGCAGGTGGATCAGTGGTTAGCACCGTTGCCTCACAGCCAGAAGGTCGTCGGTTCATGTCCCGGTGAGGGCACCCGGGATCTTTCTGAAAACAGCTTTGTTTGGGACTCAGCTGTATTAAAATGCAGTAAATGTGAGTGTAGAGAGCAGGAGAGACAGGAGAGGAACCCTCATTGCTCATTGGATCCATGGCGGCCTTTATTCTCCACCGGCGCTGAGGGTCCGTCAGGTTCAGCAGAGCTCTGACCAGACAGTCGAGCTACAGCTGTGGGGACGTTGCTATCAAAAATCAAAGTAAGCCACTGGAGCGTATGGAGGGGCTGGACTGACCGGAGGACCATCTGCTCACCACCTCCACTGGCCAGACTGCTGCTCTGCTGAACCAACGTTATGATGATTCCTGACCAGATACGTCCAACAAGCCAGTTAGAGCCCCAGACTTCATGTACTCATGTTTCAGATGGGCCACCAGAGCACTGATCAGAAGAAGAGAATTTAGCAAAAGCTGAGCATTAAAATGTCATGAAAATGGCAAATTTACCTCAAACCAATCACAGGGCCGCCTCACTGCATGATCCAGATCCTCTGCAGACGTACATCTCAGCATGTTGCTGCTGCCAGCAGCTTGTTGTTGTTGTTTCCAGAGCTGAAGGGGGATTTTGAAAACTGAAAGCAGACAGGGAGGAGAAAAGTGCAGACAGATATTGTCTAATATTGAAACTAATATGAAGAAGTTCTTCAGAGTTTACATGAGGTCATAGAAGTCAAGCATCTCCGTCAGCTTCTCCAGATCAGCTTCCAGCTCTTTGTACATGTGCAGTGTTGATGAGATTAGAATCATGATGATTTAATTCAATGAATCGTAATGGCATGAAGTCAGAGTAACCACTGACACATGATGAGCTAATGGGGGCGACAGGCGCACCGGTCACAAGCCCATGTGCACCGAGGAGGAAGGAGTCTCTTGATGCAGATCCCAGACCTGCTCCTCTGAAGATACTGCACACAGAAAGCAGAGCTGACATCAGTCCTCCTCTGTAATCAATGACTGTTTTCTAACCTCTGCTGAGGACTCTGGGACGAGCTCAACCCGTCAGTGTGAGGATGCAGCATGATGCTCGTGTGTCTCACCAACCAAAGGTCCAAACTAATGAGCTGCTGATAGGGTTCAGTAACAATAGAGGATGTTGTTGTTTTACAGTCCATGAATATCTCAGACACATGACAGAGTGAAATGAGACAGAAAACTTCATTACAGTCGTCCTCCTTCTGTGGAGATAAACATGTTAGTGAATGACCTTGAGCCGGTGGGCCGAGCAGCGCCACTGCTGACGTCATGAGGAGGGCTGGGGGTGGGGAAGGAGCTCCTCATCAGGGTGAAAGCCTTCCTGGATGCAGTAAAAGGGAAATGTAAGGGCACATTAAAGGTACAAGGCAGCCGACATGTGCGAACACACACTACCAGGAGGGAGCCACAGTCCAGACGGATGCGGTCTTTTCCACACTCGCTGTTCTGGTCTGGCTCACTGGGAGGCTGACTGTGTTCTGATGATGGCACTAAAAGACTTCTCAATGATTCCTCTAACTCTGAATTTTCTATGAGGAAATCATTAAAACACATGCATCTGTCACAAAAAAGTCATTTTAGTTCTTTCAGTGTTTTATTGTAACATATTCACAATCAGCTGGGATAGGCTCCGCCCCCCATGACCCCGGTGAGGATGAAGGTGTAGAGATGATGGATGAATAATTGAGGTTTGAGATTGATCTACTTTATAGAAATCTGTGTTCACTTTGACATGAAGGAGTGTTTTTTGTAAATTCCTGTTAAAAAAGCCAAATTAAATGTTGCACGATTCACTGTTGAAAAGCAATAAAAAAGGGGACATATATAAATACTGGTGACAGGCCCTGTACCAGCTGAAGCCCACAAATATCCGAGGTGATAAATGTATGACTAGAAACTTGGAGACGTTCTCACAGAACCTCTGCTGTTTATTACATGGAATAATGAAGCCGTGGGAAATGCTGGGCCTCAGACAGAGTGACTTGAGAAATGAGGCACTGAGGCTGATGTGTGGTGGGGCGCTGAGAGCCCAGACACAAGGTCCAGCATGGAAATACATCCTTATTTACAAAAGCAGCAAATAAAGACGCCTGCTCCAAAAACAAGATGTCACAAAAACAACAAATAGTGACTGAATCAGGCCCCAGATGCCGGCCGTGTTGTACCAGACAGCAGACTGAACACAACAGAACCAGCCTGGTAGAAGCTGCAGGATTCTTCATTACTTATTCAGTCACCCGATCATCTGAGAACCAACCTGTTGTCACACTCACATTCACACCTACGGACAATTTACAATCACCAATTAACCTCAGCATGTTTCTGGACTGTGGGAGGAAGCCGGAGAACCCGGAGAGAACCCA